CGAGCACTATGAACTAGTTTTCGATGGTCGGTACCGATCATTATCGATAGTTTTTATTTTTTTTTTGTTTTTATTGTTTATTACCAAAGTATTGTATACGTTTAGTGTAATACATTGTATTACGTTTTCTGTTGTTCTTTTCTAGCAATTAAGATAAGTTGCATTTTTATTTTATTCAATTTTTATTTGGTGCCTGAAAGTTATAGGTGATGAGTGGTTTATTGATTATGTACTCTGTTGACCTGAACCTGAATAGCTTCTGGTTTCTTTAAAATAAAAATTCTTGTAACATTAATAAATCTTTGGTAAAGTAAACTCACATAGAGAACGCAGATTGTATTATCGTACGTAATTCGTTTATGGTTTTCATTACATTCGCATGGTGTGCTGTAAATTTCGAAAACGGTTTACTTCACAAATTACTTCAAACAAGTTAATTGAAGTTCAATTTATAGATTGCCCGGCGGGCGTATACACTCTGTGAGCCTGGATATTTAGGCAGGTACACCTGCCATCCTGCCAGGAGCAGTAGGAAGGTGCAATCCAAATACGCCTTTTCACTAATTAAACTATTATATTCGGTTAAGTACGCTATGCAGTATTAGCATGAAAATACACTAAACACAGATGAAGGTATTAATTGCTTCCTACAACTTTAATTACTATCACCTTATAAGACTATAGTTGACTATAGTCGATACGAAATAGTGGTGATAATATTCATGAAGTGCAAAAAGTTTTCTTCTAAATCGCTAGAAAATATATTTTTTCTACTCCCACCCTTAAAACGCCCTTTATCGTACATGTTTCCATGACACTAAGTGACCTTTTAAATTCAAATTGACAAGTTGTAGCTTTATGGCGCTTTAGTCACGGGCTGAAGTTAGATTTAAGTTAATTGACAGTTGTCAAATGTCATACAATCGTTAAAATAAAGTGCCTTTCTTGTAAAATAATACTAAATGTGAAAATTATTATATTATCTCAATACAAAAATACGAAAGTATTAAATAGTTTCCCAACGCCAATATTTGAAAAGTTTAGATGAACATTGCACTGACCTTTTAATTTCGCCGGCAGTAAACTATAACTTAAATTCGGGCACGGACTCCACTGTAAAGTGCTCATAAAACATTTTCTTTACTTTCACTGTGAAAAACTGTCAATTTTTAAGAAATACATTTCGATTTATAACCTTTATAATCTGTGTTTATAAAATATAAAAATTTGACATTTGACGGTGACACACAGATTCCCCTATTGTTTCATAGATGGCACTATACAAATTTTTGATTTAAATCATTTTAAGATAATAAGTATTTGTCGTAAAAAAAGTATAGTATGCACCTCGTTTATAAACTTTTCTATACACTCATTAATTTAAGCACTCGCTATACACTCCATATACAATGTCAACGATAACGTACTACCTATTTCTTTTCATATCATACATGTAACTGCAGTTTCTTATAACTTTGACAACAAATAGCGTGAGTTAAACCTGATCTCGTAAAAACCTCAAAAGTGAAAAATTTGTAGTTATCCACATCTAAAACCAACCCATCAATAAAATGTTTATTTTCTTTAAAAGGTCTTTCCTAAAGCACGAAATAAATTTAAATTTAAAAGTCTCAATGACACTCTAAATTTCTGAAGCTTCGGCAGTTTGAAGACTAGTTTTTTAACTTTCCGATACTTTTATTTTTTTTGTTTAAATAGCTTTGGAAAAATTTAAAATGTTTCAATATTTAACCGTACCCTATACCGCACGCTACTGGGAGCGGAAAGTAATTGAGTGCATGCAAATTTTAAAATGTCAATTTTTGAGATACTGTTACTTTATAGCTCTGATTTTGTTTACACATAAAGGTTTTTTACATCCTTGCATGATTGGCAAATCATATTTTCCAGACTGCTATTGAAATATACAATTTCTTACATTTAAGTGACTAGTTATGCTTTTTTGAATAAAGTAAAATTCTTGGTCACAAAATAAGAAGTTGCGACTTTGTGTTTTAGAGTTGGCGACGATAAAAATACATTTGTATTCAAAGGTAAAGGTAAAATCCCAATTAGAATTCAAATAGATTCCGGAAAACAACTATTTGCTGTACCCAGGCAAGTAAAACTAATTTTTCAACGTGGCAGCTTTGCAACTTGTCTACCGTTAAAATGTTGTAAAATGAAATGGGAACGTTAAACTTTTATCGTTTTATTAGTCAGGAAAACAAAGTAGTTTGTACGTTTGTCGTATTTGGGCTAACAAATCGAGTGGCTCACGGTTTGCTACCAAACGCACCAGTCAAAACTGCAATATAACTAATTAACCCATATTCCGATTCCTTTATGAAAACGGCATTCCCTAATTAAAAGTTTTCACTGTTAAATTATTCCTTTTAGTTACTAACAAGAATTGAATAGTGCAGTCTAGCTGAAGTTCATTTAGGTTAATGTTAATTTAAGTAATTATTCAAGCCATATATATTACAGTTAATTGCAGAAAATTTGCAATTAACTTTTGTGATAAAAAAGTTTTAAAGAGCATTTATTATTTGGAAAATATCTTTCTAAAACTTTTATGGTAAAAAGTATTGAAAATATTTAAAAAAAACATATTGTTCAATTTACACCAGGTAAAATTAATTTTAATACTGTGTGAAAGTTAAATTTACAATGTTTTAGTATTTGAATTTACACCGGATCAACGAACCATATTTAACACCATTTTGGTTTTTATCGAAATAGACCATGTATGGTGTTAATTTGGTGTTAAAATGGTCATGAAATTTTGAACAGTGTAGGTGATTTTTTTTAGGTTTTAATTTGACCTCACGAAAAAAAACAAATCACCCAATACCGTTTATTTTATGCTGTGAATTTTTTTCATATAAAATATATAAACACAATTTTTTATTAAAATGCTTTTTTTATTATTATTTGTAGTGCAAAAATTTTATAAAAACATATATGTAAATTCCGGCTACGCAAATAAACTTTTCAATAAAATATAAAAAAGACATAAAACGTTAGAGCATGGTTCAATAAAAGGCTTAGTCAAGTGCATCATCGAATAAAATTATTATTTATACTTTTAATAACTGTTTCATGTACGGCATTGATGGCTGAAACGCTCGTTAAACTTTTATACGCAAACCAGATGGTCTATTTGTCTACAGACAATCGATACCATTGCTGTTTTGTGTGTAATTTAAAACAGCACACCCAATACAATTAATAGATGCGTTAGTCCGAACATTTTATGGATGCAATTTAAATAAATTAAATTAAATACTATAGGTATTTATTGTCCAAGAACGGTGAACCCTATATGGATATGTTTTCAGTTTTAGTAGATATAAATGGAGAGTTCTGGATCAATTTATTAAAATGGACAGAACTATTAGTTTATGCCTCATTTTGATATGCTTTATTTTATAATAATTATTATGATTATCACTATCACTAATTTTGCCTCATAACCAAAATATACATTTAATAATTTCTTCAGCTGTTTTAAAACTAACGTTATTTAAAAATCAGTTTTTGTGGAAAACCTTTATAAATTGTCCACATTAACTTTCTTTATTTCAAAAAATAAGATTCAAACCATTAAATAACGGATGCACCGTATCGCATAAATTCTTTTGTCTGGCGTATACCACTATTGAATGCAACAGAGAAATTTAATCCTACACAAAAAGTTCAATTTGTATGTGAAAAATAAAATGAGACTTACTGTGTAAATTTAAAGCTAGCACCGCTTGAAAATTTATCGTGCCAACCAGAATTTATTACCTATGGAGGCTTATTTTCAAGGTATTAATTTTGTATTTATATCAGACATCCTTACACTCGGATTCGCATAGAATTTATTTTGGTTTTACCAGCTTAATAAAATATACATTAAAGAGATTTCCTACTAAAAAAGTTCCTAATCCATTTATTAGCAAAAATAAAAAAGAGAATAAATTGCAAACAATTCATTTAAAATTTAAGGTACGTTATTTGTGTTTCTATAGAGACTTAATGAATAAGTAAATTAAAGTTTGAGTTTGTCATTTAAATTTATGAGTATAATAATGATTAAGTAAAGTCGAAGGAGTAAAAAACTATTTTGGGCTGTGTAAAACTTCTATTCATAATCAAGAAACAAAACTTGAAGAACAGTAATATAACAAATATAACAAATAATATAACAAAATGTACTAAATTGTGATGTTACCGAGGGCATGAATACTAGAAGCAGTAATTTGATGCAAATCCAAATTTATACATTATGCTCAGGTGTATAAAAGCTAGAAATAAAATATTTACTATACTTACGATATATAAGCTTACCTAATAAAACAGTGTTTTATTCTTTTAGCGATTTTTCGAGTTCAAAATAATAAACACAACACAAACAAGTTTTATAAATGCATCATATTCTCCTTTTAATATAGATTATTTATTTTCTACTTCCACCTTTAAAATGCCCATTATAATACATGTTTTCATAACTAAGTGATCTTTTAAATACACATTTATGGCGTTTTAATCACGGGCTAAAGTTAGTTAACTGTTATCAATCATTAAAATAAAGTGCCCTTCTTGTTAAATAATAATGTGGAAAATATTTTATTATCTTAATACAAAAATAAAAAGTATTAAATAGTTTCTCAACGTTGTTACTCGAGTTTCTTTTTTATAGATGTCGCTCCATACAAATATTTAATTAAAATCATTTTTAGTTAATAAAAAGTATTTTTCGTAGAAAAAGTATAGTATGCAACTCGTTTACAAACTTTTCTAGACACTCGTTTAATTAAGCAAAATTTTAAGAAATAAAATCTGTTTTGTGTTCGTTGTAGATAAAGTATTGTTTATAAAGTTTTTATTAATTAAACTTGTAACTAAAATAGCGTTTATAAAATTTGATACATTATATATTATTATTTCATTATTTTTTAATTTTACTTTATACCTTAAATTATATTAACAAAACAATTTTTCTTTTTCAGATTATTTTTCACCTTTGGATATTATTAGTAAGTATTATCATATAAAAGCAATGTCCCATCAAGACAAACTTTGTTTGCCAACTAAGTTTGGTATACTTTAAAGGGTCCCACTGCAAACAAAGGACCATAACTAATTAATATGATAATCTAGTCAAACTTACAAGGAAACAACAAGAATTTTGAAATATTTAATGCCATGTGAACTTTTGGGGGTCTTTGTTTTAATTCTTAAAGGCAGGGGAAAGAGGATAAAATATTGTGGTTTGTGATAAAAATTATCTTAATGGGTTTAGGTTTAATGTCCTTTATTTTGAAGATAAAAGGATATTAAAGGTAAATCACTGCGGATGGGATACCGTTACATTTGCTTTTACTTTTAGATTTTATACAAAAAGTTAATAATGTTAAAATATTTATTAAAAAGCATACAGTTTTTAACAGTTATTTTTTATGTTATAACATTTTTAGAGAGCTTTATAATAGTTTTAAAATGTCTTTTTTGTTTGAAGGTTTTATGACATTTTTACAGTTTTAAAATAGTTATAGAACATTTTATAGTGTCAAAACGGCTTATTAGTAAATTATTTTAAATAGGTTTAAAGTCGTTTTTGACTTTTTGAAAGTTTTAAAACATTTTAGAAAGTTTTATAGCGGTTTTGATTTGCTTAAATACAGTTCTATTGACATTTATATATTTTACAGTTTTAATACTTAAACAAAATTTTTAGACAGTTTTATAACAGTTTTAAAATTACTTTAGATATTTGAGAGAGTACTATTTTTATTTTATTAAATAAGATTTATTATTGATTTTGGACCATAACTAAAATACACAATTAACGATTAAAATTAAAATTAATATTAATATTATTTAGAAACCAGCTTTGTGTACATGGGCGTCCCTTAAGGGAGGCAGTGGTGGCAGCTGTTTAATTAGTTAGTTTAATTAAATACCAGGTCACTTACTGTCCTTTGTATAATTCCTAGCGGTTACGGTTTTGGAATAATTAAGGTTTTCTAAAAAAATTGCAAAGAACAAAAAATACCAGGTCACTTACTGTCCTTTGTATAATTTCTAGCGGTTACGGTTTTGGAATAATTAAGGTTTTCTAAAAAAATTGCAAAGAACAAAAAAATATTTTTCTATTTTTTTGACACATCGATTATCAACCAAATTAGATAAAAAAATTTTATTTGATTTTTCTTTTTGGAAAATAGTTTCATGCAAAATAATTAAAAATAAAACCCCTCGACCGCTACGCGGTCTCGTGATTTTATTAAATTATTTTGCATTCAACATTTTCCAACAAAAACCAAACAAAAAACTACTGAGCCTAGTTTAACCGATTAAATTCATAGTTCTCGTGATATAATATATGATTAAACGGCATTCTTTTACCCTTCAATTCGTATTTTTGTTTGCCCAATTTCTTTTTCGAAAAGTTTTTAACGGATCCTACAAATTTTCAAGGAACAAACGTCATTTTGCAATAAATAACTGAAAACAAATTATATTAAAATATTTTCACGAAACTTTTATCAAAACATCGATTTTCAATGCTTTTACAGCGAGGCAAAAGTAAGGGATTTCGAAAGAATTATTTTTGCGTCCATAGGAAGAAAAAGTAAAGTCGTAGAGAGATGAAAATAATTTAAAGGCACGTTATTGGTCGAAAGTAAAGTACCTACAAAAATTACACAGTTGTCATAATTTCATCGTTGATTGTGAAAAATAGTCGGCATAACTAGGCCAGAAAGCCAATAAAATCAAACTTTACACTAATTGTATTCATTGCCTTTCTGCCCTTGTTATTTAATATAACATTATCAAATACCCATTTTTGACTAACTCATTTTAAGAGAGTAAGCAAAGGCAATAGAGACAAAATTTCTATACTATGTCACGATCTCTTTCCTTCAACCTTTAAGCTTTTAAAACCCTAAAGGGATAGGTGTTAAATCATAAGTTTGTTTACTTTGTTTTGTTTATCTTTTCAGCACAATTATAGTAAGCTGTTGAGAAAAAGTTCCAAAATTTATGTATGGAAACTAATCTATAGCATTCGAGGCGAAATAAAGTTTTATTTACACTTCGGAATATAAAAATGATAAGTAAGGGAAGTTTTGGTAGCGTTCTCGATCAGAAATATTCGCAAAGTTGCGCGACCGGAATAAGAGATATAATCAGTTTAATACGTTCTTTTTGCCTCTGCCTCACGTCACGAGATCCCCCTTGGAGAGTTCAACTCATCCCTCATGTCTTCCCGCTAAGATTTACTGCTATTCATCTTAAAAACAAAAAAAGGATAGTTAATCTCAATAGCGTTACACTTGGGGTTGTCCAATTTGCGGCTTCGAGAAATAAAATATATGACAACAACTTTCCCCTCTTGTCAAATATAAATAAAAAGGAAACATTAGCCATAAATATTCCTATATTTATTTTACGACGTTTTCGGCTTATTTGGGATTATATTTTGAATACCGTACTTACTTAGTTATATCGACTATCGATTTTCACGACTGATAAGTTTGCGCCCCAATCCAAAAGTAAACAATGAAACCACACACTATCACTGAAAAACCTTTTAGAAAAAATAAATCACCCCTGTAAAATCTTTATTTATTGTGCGATTTTAACCGGATTTGTTTTAAAGTGTAGATCTTGATAAACTGTATTTTTAAAGCAACATATTTTTACAAAATACAAGGCCTACTATGTCAGTTTTTAGGAGTAAATTTTTAAGAATTCATATCAATCAATTTTAAGTAGAAAAATATGTCACACTGTATATATATATATATATTAATTTTTTTTAAAATTAATATTGAAAAAGTTCAGAATTTCATAAAATTTGCATTATTTTACAAATTTACAACAATTTGACAATTAGATTAATTTGCATAGCTTTTTAAAACTATTTATTATTGCATTATCTCTTTAAATGAATTAGTCAAAAATAACTAGTCATATTTGACTAAGGACAAGTAACAATAACTGTCATAATTACCATTGTTATGACAATTAAGCATTGGGTAAATTTAGTGGAAGGTGAATATACTGGCCCTAATTTTCATAGCGAAAAAGCAGTCACTAATAATTATTATAATAATTATAATTAGTCAAATTCTACTGAATTAAATAGTCTAATTAGTATATTTAAATTTAAAAAAAGTTTTGACCCAGCCGTTTATTGAACTCAGGTCTGTCACTTGTCAAGCTTGTCAAGCTGTTGTTATAACCCATTTGGCTATCATACGTAGTAAAAAATATCTATTTAAAAGTGAAAACGAATATTTTATTAGTAAAAAATGCTGGTAGTAATTCAAATAGTAGAATTTTGACTATTTCATTTTTTAGAGGGTTATAAACACTAACTTTTTTCTAGTGATTTTAAAAAGTTTAACCTAATATTTTAACCTAATTGTTAAAATTTCCAAAATATCGGCTTAAAAAATAAAATAAGTTGTAAAATTTTTATTATTTTTTAAGTACTTAAATTTTAAAACTTAACTAATCTTTCTGGAGGTCCATAAAATAAATAACTTAAAACTAAGGCATAAATTAAAGTACCAAAGTTACATTTTAAGACTGCAAAGCTAAGCTCTCCAGGGACTATTTAAGCTAACAACTTTTTCATTTATTTTATTTTCACTAAGATATTTAGGTCAGCTCTAAAAGCTTTCATCCAATATTAATAATATTACATATAAGCATAAGGAATTTTGTAAATTTTTAATAAAACATGTTAAGCGATGGTTAACGCTATACATAATTATTTTTATTACTACGAAACCTAAAAAGTCTTTTAGCTTAAGATTTTCTAGTTACAGCCATTAATTTTATAAATCTTACTTATACTTAAATCACACTATAAGAGCTTGTAAATTCTTGATTAATATCAGAAAAGATTAATTTAAAAATTTAAAGTGTAGTACACTTTGTACTTAGCGTCACATTATCAAGGTAAGCCAACACATTTCAGTTTGAAAACATTATTAAGCTTCAGACGCATGCAGCATTTTAATAAAATTCGTTACCTTTAGAATTAAGGCGAGATGAAATTTTAATTTAGGTTTAACACGGCTTAAGTTTCGAGGAAATGCTGGCTGGAAACAAATAATTGATTTTTTAATGTCGACCTATTTCTGTAAAAGTTCAGTCATTTTTATTGACCAATTTTCTGCGGGTGTTTCCATTATTTATGCCAATAATATATTATTTTTCGGGGTCCAAAGTTTTAATGGCCCCACATAAATTCCAATTCCAAGGTTTTAAACTTTATTACGTTATAGAAATTGTTACTAAATACACATTTTAAATTTATTTGCGAAGGCACTGATGTTGCATTACTGTCCTTATCAATCTTTATTAAATTAAATTTTAGGCGGTTTTCTGCCTCAATAAATCGGTTTCTTGCACCACACCTCAAAACAAATTATTGTCGGTTACTTTATTACATAAAATAACTTTTGTTGAGTTATTTAAACACGAGTGTTTAGGGAGTAAAACCGGGAGTCTGTATGTTCCAAAATTTAATAGCGGAATTAATGTATTAACTCTAATATGTACAAACAATGTTAAAAGCACAAGGCCTGCTTTTAAAAGATTTTACAGTGTTTATGAGGTTTATTTTTGCCTTAATTATTTGGTTATTTTTAACTTTAATAAAATGATTAAATCCATTACATTAGTTTTCCTTAAACAAACATTGATGAAATGTCAATAAAGCAGTTTTTTAACCGTAACTAACAGGGTTTTTCTAACTTTTGTTGACACATTAAAAAAATTTACTTTATTGCCCATATTTTTTTACAAACAATTATATGAGAATTATAAGAAATTTTGAGTGTTTTATGCTATAAATAAATACGTTTACTTTTCAATCAAATTTCATGTTATAACTGATTAAATAAATTTGTTGTAAAATTTGACTTATTTTCCAATATATTGAGTGGAATCTTTTCTTTTTACACAATATTTGGGCAAGGAATTTAAAGCCAATTTTATTTGATATTTTATCTGA